AAAAGAGCTATAGAGCTAGATTAACTAAGAAACCCCAAATGGAGAAGCTCAAAATTCAAGACGCCCTGCCTAAAGCAAGAGAGCTTTAGTGTCCTATAAAGTCTCTCAAGTCCACTAAGTCTCTCTATGCAGCCCCCACCCCCCTGCCTGCCCCCCCCACGCCTGTCCCCCAGGCCCCACCACACCCACCCTGCAGGAGCCCTGCCGGTTCTGACACCACTCCATGGAATCTGAGGCTTGCAGAGATGATCAGGCAGGCAGGCAGAAGGCATCCTTATCTATAGAAGCTGAGATGCCAAGTCAATCTCTGAGAGAATCTCTGGGAGAGAAAGATCTCAACTCTTCCAGGTAGTGGCTCTGTCCCCAAGGTGCAGAATGCAAAAAAGAGGGCAAGACATGTCTAGAGAGAGGGTCTCACGGGGCTTGTACACTCACCAAGATGTCCAAAGCAACGCTGTTAAGGGTGGTGCTCATAACTGTGCAACGCCAGTCCACCCCAACACACAGAGGAAACGCCTCAGAGCACACTCCCCGGACCAGTCTCATCAAGTGGTCTGTGCATCAGCCGTGATTCAGATTAGTGCTGAATTCCCTGGGCGAGCCAGGCATGGCACAAGCTGTGAACTAGCTGTACAAAGTAGACCATGTTTTGGTGTGGTACTTTGAAAATTAAGAAAACCAGGAAACTGGCCGGCCCCTCCCCGTATTCAGTTCTAGAAAAACCAACTTCGTGAGGCAACCTCTTCATTTTACAGAAGAAACTAAAGTCCAGGGACATTAAGTGCCCTCCCTAGTACTAATCACACATCCCAACAGTAAAAGCAGAAGTGGAAGGAAAAGAAACTGCACAAGTGCACTTCTTTCCACCCCCACCCCGACTTGAGTGTGCTGCTCGCTTTCCTCTCTGTAGTGGCCTTGCAGAAACCCCCAAAGTAGGACTACAGGACCCGCTCCCAATAAGGAGGCAATTTCGAGCTCAAGGTAAACTGCAAAGGACAGTATTTCTATCCAGCTTTGCCGAAATCTCAAACCAACATGACTAAGGCAACCTCTTCCTTTCAAAATGAAGCTCGCTCCTGGAGTTGTCTATTCCGGACCCCTCTTCCCTAATCCCAGAAATGCTAATTTATTGAAACAAGGTTGGTATGATGGATGATTCAGCCTTCGAAGTGTCTGGAGGTCCACCAAGTCAGTGATGAAAACAGAGGCACAGAGCTACGGGACACCGCTGGGGAGGGGGAGAGGGGTCTGGTCTGCCACGTGCAAGTTCACAGCCCAAACACCAGGATGGAAAGCTCGCCATGTGAAGCAAACACCGCCAGTGCGCTTCTCCCACTCAGAGCGGTACGTGAGGCAATTCAATGTCTCTTGCTTGCAATGGTTTTTTTTTTTTTAAAGATTTATTTATTTATTCATACAGAACTGGGGTACAGGCCAGAGATGCAGAGGGTGAAAGGATTCACCAGAGACAGAGCAGAGAGCAGAACAGGCAGATCAACGAAGTACACTGCTGAGGGGAGCAGCAGGCGGGTCAGGAGAGGTCTGCCACTCCATGTGGTCACCTCCGGGGCAGGCGGGAATCAAACTCATGCGGAAGTGGCTTTAGCTTCTCAGTGCAGTGCTTTAACCCGCTGCACCACCAGGAAGGCCCACTTGGCAATGGTTTTGTGAAAAACAAGTAATACTGATTTCTCTTATTTTTCAGGACCCACTACTATACCTGGGACACAGCTCAGTAACGGAAAAGGGCAGGCGGAAGGAGATAAGTGAATGGGGGTGGGGTCACAGTCCTGGGCAGCCCGACAGTCTCTAGAACTGAAAGGGACTGAACTATCCTGTCCTGCATTTGCCTTAAGGTTTCCTAACCTAATTTGCCAGGAAACCATCTCCTTCTCAGAAGCTGAGATGCTGGGAAGAAGGGAGAGTCTTCAACTGACTGCCAGGTGCCAGAGTGAGAGGAAACTGGCCCAACCTGGAGAGATCAGGGTTGGCGAAAGGACCTGAAAGAACTGGGTCTTCCAGCTGCTGAGCTAAACCAAAGTCCTCCTCACTCCTGCCCCCATGCTCTAGCCACCCAAACCATTTGCTCTCGTCTTGGGGTGTGGGGAAGGGACTTGGCAGGACCACAAAGACCCTCTCTAGCAAAAACGTCCATCTCCAGTTGGAGGGAGCCCAGCGCCCAGACTCAGGGGGCCCAACAAGAGGGTTCCAGTCGCCATCACAGTGATCCCTGCTGGCACTGTGGTGGGCAGGAGGCCTCAACTTTCAGCTTGTTCACATGTCTGTCTTGTGCCTGCCATTCAAAAGCAGTTGGGGTTACCAAGAAGGAAGAGCTGTGCTCTGGAACTCTAACTCCAGTTCTTAATATGCATTGGCTAAGCCCTCTCTCACTCATCCTCCACTCAGCTCAGAAATGTTCTGGGCTGGTCCCCTTCCCACGCCAGCCTGACACGCACACCTGCTTCCATGTCTTCCAAGCACTGCTTACAAATGTACCTCAGACAGAAAGAATTCCAAGAGACTGGAGAAGTGGGATGAACACGAGAGACCTAGTAGGAATGAACTCATGGTGTGTGGAGAGTCAAGAAGCTCATGCTGTGTGGAGAGTCAAGGATCCTCAAAAAAGAGGCATTTCTGCAGTGGTCAAAGGAGACACAGAAGGCACAGCCCCAAAATCGTTTCCAGACATCCCCAGCCAGAGGAAAGGTTCCCATGGGGCAGTGTGTGGGAGCAGTGTGGGAACCCAAAAGCAGGGCAGCCTAGGGCTCAGGGCACTGGGCACTTGGCCTCTGCAGGCTGCCAAGAGGGAGGTGGAGGCAGAGTGCGCTATGGCATGTTCCCTGGGACACCACAGGCAAATCTACCACACCAGTCAGTAAAATGGCAAGGGGGGGAGGAGCGGCAGTGGTATAGGAAGAAGGGGGGCCTCAGACCCAAGTGTTTGCTGGCAGTGCCCAAGCCAGACCAAGAGGAAGCTCTGATTCTCAGACAGACAACTCAACAATAAAAACAAGCACAGACACATCCTCAGAGTTTTAAAGACACAGGCAGCCCAAGCCCTGCTCTGGGGCAGAGGAAGCGGGTGGGTGGGGGGGGGAGGAAGATGTGTTTGAAGGGGTTCTTTTGCTCTTCCAGAGCCCATAGCAGGGTCGCGTTTAGACTGAGAGGCTCCAGCAGGACTACAGGCCGAGAGAACACAGGCAGGGAGAAAGGGAGCACACTTGGAAAGAGCTGCAGAGAAGCCATGGCCAGGCAGGAGGGGTGCTCTGGGAGTAAACAAACCTGCCCTTCCTCCCAGCATAAAGGGAAGCTCTGGTGGACTCGGCCAGAGACACAGAGGGAGGAAGCTGCCCCTCCCTGGGCCCATCTGTCCCCATTCCAGTCCCTTCGGCCTGCTCCCCCCATGGCAGGGGGCAGAACAGGTGCACTCATAAGCTCCATGCCCACAGCCCTCAGCGGTGGGAGGCCAGAGGAGGAAGTGGGGGTGGAACCTGAGGGTGCTGCTCTAGAGAGGATCTGGGAGTGAGCTCAGGCTCTCCCCTCCCTGCCCACAGCACTGCCAGTAGCAACCACCCTCTGCTTGCCTCAGGGGCCTCCCACACTGTCATCCTAGGCGATCACCCACAAATCCCCGCCTCTCCAAGGCATGCCCAACTCTCCCGGGGAGCTGATGCCACCTGGCTCCCCTCTTGCCCCCAGAAGCCTTCTTCTTGCTTTCCCCGCCCCAAGCACTTCCTTGGTCCTTGGAAGGAAGCCAGGGAACCACCCTGCAGCTTCACCGGGAGCCCCTCCCTGCCCCATCCCTACCCAGGCAGAGAGGCAGCAGGGTGCCACTTCACACAGCTTTCCCAGGAAGTCGGAGGAGGGTTTCCAGGGAGGAAAGACTGTCTGGGGACAGGAGCACCTCGCCCATCTGCTACCTAAGCAACCAGATTCCCCAGCTCCCCACAGGCCCCAGGGCTGGAGGGGAAGGTGTGGCTGAGCTGGGGCAGGACCGGACTCCCTCCCTCTAGAAGTTCCAGCCCGTCCTGCCTCTGCCCACCTGTCCCCACACCCCTTCCGCTGCCTCTCTGCTGCTGACTTGAAAGCCAGCCACAAGGAGCTGCCTACAGCTCTGTTTTCTCCACCCTGGGCCAACAGAGGATACTGCTGAGTAATCCCAAACTCATGGTGGGTCCCAGACCTGAAAATGGGCAAAGCCCAAAGTAGCCTACCCATGCCTGTCCCTGCCAGCCTGGGAGGGAGCATCTGCTTTCTCTAGTAATGGCTGATGCTGGGGCAGACTCTCCCCTGCCCTGCCCCAAATACCCCAGCCCCAGCCCTCAGACAACCACCTGGAGAAGCTCAGTGCTCCCTTCTCCACTTCCCACGCGCCTGGGAACATTCCCTTTCCAGTCCCCCAGACACCAAGCCGCACAGAGTAACATCAGCCGTCCACCCGCCCGCCAGCCTGCCGCCGGATTCCCAGTCATGATGTTGCATCAGCCCCCACCCTACCCAAAATATCCTCACCCCACCACCTCCTCTCCTTTCCAGCCATCTCCATGGTGACAGCAGCATGACTAATGACACCCTATCAGCTTCAGACTCAGCTTCAATTCCCCCTCCCTCTTACCCCCCCCCCTTCAGGGATTTCTGCAGATTGGATGCTAACCAACAGTGCCAGGGAGATTTCCAGAGGCAAGGGTGGGGAGTGGGCTGCATGCCTTAAAAAAAAAAAAAAAAAAAAAGCTCAACAAACCCAACCCCAACTGCACCCAAACCATCCAGCTGAGAAAGCAAAAAGAATCCAAACAAAACCCACACAGGCCTGAGAATTCATTGGCCGCCCACACCCCCACCGCCCCTCCCCCTCAGCTGCTGCTACACACATAGTGAGAGATTAAGGGATCACCAGAGGAGACCCTTTATCTTTATCCAACCCAGCCAAACATTTCACTCCAACACACACACACACACACACACGCACGCACACGCACGCACGCACGCACGCAAGGTACCTTGACAGCGGCAGCCCCTTGTCCCCACGGCCCGGGTCCTTCACCAGCCTTTATTTCCACCTGCAAAAGAAGCCACAGAGACTGATAAGCCAAGCTGACACGGGGAAAGAGGCAAAGTCCTGCTGCTGCACCCCCAGCCTCACCGCAGGGGGAGGGGGGCGCCGGCGGGAGGGGGCCTGGGAAAGAAAGGATAGCCGGCACCATCTTCCTCCCTCCAGCTGCGGCCCAGACTCCGGGCAGGCGGATGGGCGCATTCGCCTTCCAGTGTGTTTTTGTTTTCATTTCTCCTTTTTCCACCCTCCCGGAGATAGTGCGGGCACTGCCCCTCGCCTGCGTCAGATCTGGCCTCATCCCCCGGGCCCTGCCCGCCCTACCTCGGCCGGCCTCCTCTGGTGCATCGGCCGGCGGGCCTCCCATTATCCCAGCCGGAGCGCACGGAGGGAGGCACTGCAGAGGAGGCGGCGGCCAGCTGCCGGCTGGGCTCCCCTCCCCGCCCGCCAGGCTGGTGTGGAGGGGGCGGCGCGCTCGCCAGCCAATCCCCGCGGCCGGCCGAGCGGGGGCAGGGCCGGCGGGGCTGGACCTGCCCAGCCGGGAGTCAGGGGCGCCGCCAAGGGTGCTGCAGAGTGGCGCTGGCTGCCGCCCAGGCCCGCTACCGCTCCCTGGCAGGCGGGGAAGGGGATCCCGAGGCGCCCAGCCTCCTGGTAAGGAGACCCCAAGGTAACACCCGGATGTCACCTTCCGCGTCCGCGTCCCCGTCTCCGGGGGTCGAAGAGGATAGACTGGCTTGGGGTGGGGCAGGCGCTGGTGGGATTCCGCCCTCTAACCCTAGCACACCAGCAAAGTGCCGCACCCCAGCAGCAGCTAAGGCAGTGCCAGGCACTGTGACAGGGGCAGAAGCCACAACTCTGCCATCTTCAAAGAGGCAGGGAAAGCCTAGGCAGTGTGAACTCCTACCCCATTTTGCAGATGGAGAAAGGGAGGCAGGGAGCTAACTAACCAGCCTGAGGCCACACAGCTAGAGAGAGCATAGCTGGGATTCCAAGCAGAGCTGTCTGACTCGGGACTATTGTGTAGTCCTACTCCAGCCTTCTCCACCACACACCTGAGAAAACAGGTTTCTTCTTGAAGCCCACATTCTCCCCTGGTGGCCCCACACCTCACCGAGGCCACCTTCCCCTCATGCACCCCAACACCCACTCTTCACCCTAGGGTCACTGAGCCCTGGTGAGTGGCCCACACCCAGAGTGCCTCCCCCCCAGCACCACCACTCTACAATGGTCTCTCCTCTGGGGGGGGGGGGGGGGCAGCCCCTCACCCCAGGCTGCTGGGCCTCCTGTCCTTGGAGAGGTTAATTAGGAGGAAAGGTGCCTGGATCCTGAGAGCTGGGGCCCCAGATCCCAGACTCTGAAGGCTGTATGCCCAGGAGACAAGAAATAACAGAGGGAGAGGTACAGCGCTACACTCCTGGACTTACTTCCTGGGCCATCCACTCTGCCCCACGCCCTCCCGGTAGTGAACACTCCGGAGCTTCTGCCTCAGGGAGAAACTTCCACAGCTCACATACCTGGGTTCCGTTCCTGGCCCCACCACGATCTAGCTGTCGCTACCTTCACCATTAGCTTCGCTTTGCTCATCTGCAAAATGGAACCACAATGCAGCTACCCCCTACTCAGCTGTCAGGATTCTGTGGAGAAATGCAGCACAGAGCCCGCCACCCTGTCAGGTCTCACAGCAAACTCGTGGGCGAGCTCACTGTGCTGTGCAACTCATCTGACAGACCCCAAGCTGAGGCAAGAGAGCAGGGCTGCTACCCCTGTCCAGGTTGTGCTCCACTGCAGGTGTTCAGCTGCTTCCACTCCCTGGCACCCCAAGGGGGAACCCAGGCTGGGATGAGCAAAGCAGGCTTCTATGCAAAGGTTCCAGGAGGCACAAGGGCCCATACCTGCCTCACCCTGAGGACAAAGGGCAGCCCTGCTGTGCCCTCCCCAGGGGAGGGGAGGAGGCAGGTGACAAGGCAGGGCAAGGACCAGTGTCCCAAGCAGCAGCTCAAGACAGGAAACTGGACTTCTGCACCCCTTGGTTCTTACTGTGCGCCCCCATAAGTAGAGTCCCTCCTTTATCCTGTTACCCTAAAACCCCTGCCCCACCCACCGGGTCTGCTGCTGGAAAAGTGACTAACGTTGCTAGGACAGTAGCGACTAATAGTGCTGCTGCCTGTGGCTGCCAGTTTATCCAGCCCCTGCTACACACCAGGCCGCGTGCCAGCCATGCCGTCTGGGGGAGCAGCTCACTTGACTTACTCCACACACAACCTCATCTCTTACGAGGAAGCGGACTTAGAGATGCCAGGTTACCTGGACGCCAACACACAGCTGGGGAGTGGTGGCCTACAATTCCAGTCAAGGCCTTTCTCATTCCAGTTCTCTAGCCTTTTCTCTCTGCCAACCCCAGGGGAAAAGGTTGGGGTACATACCCCCTTAAAGCATGGGTCATAGGATAGAAAGGCTAATGCCAGCCCTCCCGGGTGGCAAAGCGGGTTGGAGTGCCGCTGCGGAGATAAGCCAAGCCACAGTCATTTCCGTGCAGTTCAATCACCCTGGAGGTGACCCACATGGCGCGGCAGACCTCTCCTGACACGCCCGCTGCTCCCCTCAGCAGTGTACTTTGTCAATCGGCCTGTTACGCTCCCCACTGTCTCTGGTGAAGCCTCTTACCACCTTTGCAACTCTGGATCGTACGCCAGTTCTGCATGCATAGATAAATCATTTAAAAATTTTGGAAAAAAAAAAACTTTAATGCCCCGGAGACTCCCAATGCTGCATCCTGTCAGGATTATCACCAACCGTCCCCCGACCACCACCCCCCCATAAACTAACATGGTACACCTCACCTCCCTCTGCCAATTTCCCTGCCCACCAAGCCCCCGTGAACACCACATGCTCCTCTGAGGGCCTCACGAGAAGCTCCGGCTTTCCCGAACACCCGTCACAGCCAAGCAGTTATTTATTTGTACAGCGGTCTTCCCCACATGGGCAGAGCCCTGTGTTTCCCACTTCACTAGGATCTTTGCAGAGCTGGAATGTGCTGAGTTCAGTTTCTACCCAGGAGGGTGGAGAGGTGGGAGGGGGTATTCTGATGTTGAGGTTACTCTCCTAATCACCCTTCTCTCTGCAGTCCCCGAGCGCTGGAAGGTCACCTGCTGTCCTAGGAAGACAGGACCTTTCACAATCAAAGTACAGCCGAGCCCAGCCTTGTTCAACTAGGACACATCTTCCACACTAGGTTGCAGATGTCACCCTAACTCTACTGGGCCCAGCCCCACCCCTGTGCTACCCCAACCAAGGTCCCTGCCCTACCCCCCGAGCCTGAATATACCCTAGAGCAGCCTTGGTCCTGAGACCATGCACCCGATCCCCTCCCTGACCCATCCGACCTGCCCTTCTATAAACCACTTGGAACTCAAGGACCCCAAAGAGGGACAGAGGCTAGTGCTAGAGCCACCCTATCTCCAGCAGGGACACTCTTCATCCGTCAGCCCCTTTTTCTACAGTGGGGCTTACAGTGACAGATCCAGACAAATCCAGCTTACTTGAGATTCCTCTGCATGGGGGCTGAGGCGCCTCCCCACCCACCATTCATAATGACACCTGCAGTCTCCATGGTGCTCCCAACAGCAGGAATGAGGCCGTGGCCCTCCCCACTGGGGAGAGGGGAATGCATTCATTCTCTCTCATATCATACAAAATATCAACACCAAGAACCTTAAGTATGATACCCAGAAGCCAGAATGTACAGAGACACACAAAGTCAGGAGAATGGGGAATAGCCAGCACAGGTCTGGAGAGAGCTACAGGCTCGCTGACCAAGCTCCAACCCCATGTGAAGCCCCATGCCTGGAATGTGATGTGCCTACCTTACTCAGCCTTCAAAACCAACCAGTAAGGGCCCTCCCTGGTGGCACAATGGGTTAGGTGCAGCACTGCAAGCTTGCTGCAGCCACTTCAGTGTGAGTTCGATCCCGCCCCCGGGGGTGACCCACATGGTGACCCACAAGGCACAGCAGACCTCTCCTGACCCGCCCACTGCTCCCCTCAGCAGTGTACTTTATCAATCTGCCTATTCTGCTCCCCACTCTGTCTCTGGTGAGTCCTCTCACATCCTTGCTCCTCTGGCCTGTACCCCAGTTCTGTATGCATAAACAAATCAATCTTAAAAAAAAATAAGTCAGGAACTGTCCACACCCATTTTACAGATGGAGAAATAAGAACACAGGTGACACTTTGCCTAGGTCACAGAGCTAAGAATGGCTTCTTAGGGACCTTGCCACCCCTTCACTCACAGCGATGCAGCTGAACTGCTCCATGCAGCTTGTGATTTCATATCAACCTACCTTTTCTAGAGTTGGCAGTGGGTAGAAGGACTTCTCTTCCTCCCTGGCCATGACTGTGTCCTGAGTGCGGTCAGTCGCCACAAGGCTTTAAGTTCAGTTCAAGACTCATTTCCTGTAGGAGCCTTCTCAGGTTATCCAACTCGCTGCCGACTGGCAGCACTTCTGTTTCTCGTCTGACACTCAGTACTGCTATTTGTCTCTGCCTTTGTGCCTTGCCTTTCAACAAGAATAGCTGGAGCTGTGTCTCTCCAAAGTCCCTGCAGGGTTCTGCCCAACATTCCACACACCGAAGGTACTTGGAATAGACTGTGAGGGAGTCTGTGACCTCCTTCCCTTCCCTCTCCATCACACAAAAGATCCTGCCAAGGAAACCCAACACCCCCTCCACCTTCAGAGCCTATGTTTGAAGTCCCTGGTGTCCACGCATCAATTTCCACCCAAGTAATTGCAGCCCATCACAGACACATCATCCCCTATATTTGAAACTCTTTGCGGTTGTCATGGGAACTGCCTGTGCCTTCATTCACTGATCAGGCCTCACAATTAGCTTTGGCAGCGGAAGTCTGTGTCAATGGCAATAGCGGGGAGGAAGAAGCTGAGGAGGAGGAAGAGGAGTAGCAGCAGCGGCAGCAACAGCAGAAAAGGTGCTGTTCCTCCTTGAAGCAGCAGCAGAACCAGACAGAACCCAAGCAGCAAGAGAGGCTGAGAGAGAGGATCAGCCAGCAGCTCCCGTGCACTTCCCATGAAGCCACCCGAGACACTGTATTTGGGCCTCCCAGGCTGACAGGTAGCAGCTGTGGTTCTGCCATGGCCCTGCATGCTTGTGAGAGGGTCTTACGCTCTCCAAACCTCAACAGGGTTTCCCCAGCCCATATTCAACAGCCTTGGACCATCCAATATTCCAGCCCCGCCCCACCCCACCCCCCAAAAAAGCAAGTGTCCTTGAGCAGATAGGACAGGAATGAAATGCTGAATGGCTTAGAAACCTAAGGGAGGCCAGAGGGAGACTTAAAACAGGAGTGAACACCAGCGTGTCACCTCCTACTCCACTACC